GGGTATCCTTCTGCATTGTGCCGTCAGCAGTGCTCACTGTCTGTCGGGCCAGTTACTACCCAGGCCCGAGAACCGCCCATTGCAGTCCTCGAGTGTGCGCTTCTCGGTGCTTCCAGGATGGCCAGGTGACAGGGACTGAGGACGGGTTCTTGTCCCATGGGGAGTGTGTTTGTTGTTGTGGGTTAAAAGGAAATGTAGTTGGAGGTCCCAGGCTGTCTGAACAGGGAAACGAGGGGCCGGGGCTAGATGGCGTTCTTTGGAGCTGTCTATAGGGGTATTGTGGTGCCCCTAGTCTTTGAGTTTCTCTACTGGGAGTTGTCATCCTTTTGATCGCCTATATTGACTTGTGAATCTTTTAGTAAGGAAAATGTGTGTGTGTTTTCATAAGAATGAATGCCCGGTAAAAGAACAAACAAATCTGTCTGGGCGGAAGTACAACGGAGTGCTCCTGAGAAGCAGGGATGGTGAGCCTTCATCTTACATACTTTGGACATGACGTCCGGAGAGACCAGGAGAAGGACATGATAAGTGGAGGAGCAGCAAATAAAAGGAAGACATAGAAAAGCTGGATAGACACAGCGGCTGCAACAGCGGGCTCAAACATAAGAACACTTGTGGGGATGACATCGAGGGGCAGTGTTGTGCTCTGTTGTACCAAGGGTGGCTATGGGGCGGAACTGGCTTGACGGCACCCAGCAATAATAATACGCCCAACAGAAAACTAGCTCCTGATTTCAGTTTCAGTGTTGAAAAATTAGTTGTTTTTTTGCTCAAACTAGAAATGTGAATTGTATATGAATGACGATATTAAGAGACGAAGATGCTATGGCTGTTTTAATGTGATTGCTCTGATTTCTTTTGAACAGACAATTCTGCAGTAGATATGTACATTTTACATTCAGGAAGCAGTCTGCTGTGGATCCAGGTAATTGTAAGTGCATACATACCATAACATTTGGAACATGCAGGAAGCTCTTTCAGAACAGATAAGAAACACTTGAGTGTGTGTTGCCTCCGTTTAGACTGCGGCCCCCTGTGTTTGCATGGATGCATCGGTGCCCAGCTGCCCTGTGTGTGTGCCTGTACTGCTGGTCTGGCTGGACCCACACTGGACAGGTTACCACACACTGAGCGAAGTAATGTGGGCGCTTTTTTGATTACAGGATGTCCATCATTTCTCACAGAGAGACACCCTGTCTCTGAAGTTCGAACCAGTGCTGCTACCCATGTCTGCCACAAACTTTACGAAAATCGCCTCCTTCCGCTGCCAAGGTACAGAGTTAAGAAACCGTTCGAGGTGGTTCCTGGTTTTGTCATGCGGTTGCCAGGATCGTGTTCTCTGTGCAGAATGACAGCGTGCCTGCAGCTAGCTTTGGTCTTTGGTAGATGGGCAGATTTGCTTTCAGTGTCAGCATGTCCCTCGTCATTAGTTCCTAAAGGTGGTGGGCCGTAGGGACGATGGTGCCACCACCTTTGCCCTCCTACATAGCTGGCACTTTGTGTTTACAGTTGGACTCAGCTGGGGACGTGAAAGAGCAGGTGGCATCAGGGGAGGTGCCGCTTTCTCGGCCAGAGCATTTGCATTCTACAGTTTGAGTTCTTTGTGTCGAATGTATGCAGGCTGGAGTGAATACATGCCCAGACCCATCTTTCAGCTTCTGCAGTTAGACGTTTTATCAAGAAATGTAAACGGGTTTTAAGTGCAGGAACACATGCCCCGCCTCTCTCATATTTAAAGGGACTGTAAATCGACACAACACATGAGACACTTTCGTACTTAGATTGGTAAAAGAGATTGCTAGTGTTCTGTGTTGTGTGGCCATTTGGGGTGGTGTGGGGCGCTCTGGAATAAAAATGGACGGTGGCTTTTTGGAGAGAAGCTTGGTGCTCTTGATTGAAAATTTAAAATGTATGTCTATGCATTGTGATTCTTAACCTAGAAATTCATCGGACAGATAGACCGGTCCATGAGAGTGCTTCAGAAAGCTCCTGGGAAAATTCCATTATTTTTAAAGGCCATCTTCCCACACTCTTCTTCCAACCCCCTTGTATGTGCAGAGATGCACCCACATCTTTGTGGTAGCAGAAGTGCCCGTCCATCTGTAATACTGGTTAGGTTGTAGCTCGCCCTCAGGGGCACGCTCTAGCTCTTTCCGATGGACAGGAGTGTGTAATGCAGCAGTGTGTGGGGATGTGGTTTCCCAAAGTGTATCTATCTATGGAAGGATGTTAAAGAAACCACATGTTTTTCCTGCCTCCAAGATCATTGGGAAAACCGGAAGGTTGAGCGTTAGAGGTATCCTGTGAGTTGTGTGCTGGAGTCGGGGTGAAGAATTTAATACCAGTGGTTTTATATTATGACCAAGATCCATGAACGCTTTAGCGTGTGGTGTTGGTAAATCATCAGGGTGTCACCACCTTTTGCTCTCAAGCTTCTTCCTATTTAGGTTTTTTCTTTGCAGATCCGTGCCTCACCGGCTCCTCTCAAAACACCCAGCTGTGCGTACAGACTCTGTGTATGGTGCTGGCAGTCATCAGAGAAAAACAACACAAAGCGTTGACTCTGAAAATGGGTGGTTTTTTTTAAAGGGTAGAGAGCATGATCCAAATAATTGACAAGCCATTAACAGAAGAAGGGTTAATTAGGAGTTTTTTTGGGGGGGAGGAAATCCCCCCACCCCCCATTTATGTCTCATTTACTGTTTTAATGGAGTCCGAAAAGTGAAGCAATGGGAACAGTTGCAAAGTATGCATCTTTTTTTATTCCAGCATCATAAAGGAAAGGTACTTACTGCTGCACGTTTACCATTTCTGCTTCCCAACAGCTTCATCATGTGACAGTGGAAGTAGTTCCACAGAAGAGGCGAAGAGAACACAGAGCATTGCGACACTAAAAGCCTGCCTGGCCTCACCTGTGGTTCAGGGGTAGGTACATTCACTGTCCCCAGACTCGTACGGTGTTAGTCCCTAGAGGTTGTTTACAGATAATCCAGTCAATCAAGATGTGACTTGAATGGACCTCTGTTCTCTCTGGACCTGCCTTCCTGCCTTCAGCTACTAACAAGGGAGAAGCAACAGCATAATTCACATCTTGAATTAGGTTCCGGCAGCCAGGGGCACTAGAGGACACGTTCACCTGGTGGTGCCTCGTGGCCCTCGCTTTGTCCTGCTGGCCCCTGTGTGCTGACCTTGCCCTGCCATTGGCTCTGTGTCTGGCCTGCTTTTCTTCAAATATGACTGAGATTTGGACAAGGTTGATCTCTGATAAGAGTTTCCAGCCCTGACATTCCATGCCTGGCCGCCTTTCTGCAGTTCGTTCAGGTTCTTCAGCATGCTGAAAGGTTGACATTTCAAGCTGACCCAGAGGCACCTTGCAAACCAGGCCTGCCAATCTGCTTCTGGAAGGGCTGGGTCTTGGAAACCCTATGGAGCAGCGGCCTGGCGATCTGCTTCCGGAAGGCCTGGGTCTTGGAAACCCTATGGAGCAGCCCCACCGCCGGGATGGGCTCAGCAGCAGGGACTGACGGCAGTCCAGCGAGGTGGCCGGTTGGGTTGTGTGACTCCCAGGCTGACCGCATACTTGCCCTCTGCCCACAGGTATTTCAGACTGGACCCTGCAGCGGCCCAGTTTCACATGGAGACTCACAAGAACGCGTCAGGAGTCTGGTCCATGTGGTACTTCAATCTCTTTGACCGCCGTATCGTATTCAACAATGCATTTGTTTCCAGGGAGACCAAGCACATTGTAAAGGTACGGGTAGCTTCTTACTTTACTTTTACTCTCTCCTATAGTTTTATCCTACTGTAAACTTTTCTTAAGGTCATGCTGTGGCATTAGTAGTATTTGTACATAACAATGTTTAATTATGGTTTTTAAAGCAAGTATTTGTCATTTAATATTTTCAGAAGTAGCATGACACTACTCTTCCCATCTCTCTCTCCTCTTTCTCTTTTTCACTCACTCACTCACTCACTCACTCACTCACTCACTCACTCACTC